CCCGGGGACGGCAGTATGCATAAAGCATTCCTCTAGGGCAAAAAAAGGCAAACCATCATATTCAATAAATTTAAATTGATATACCATAGGAAAATGTTACCAAGCGTTTCCTAACATTCATTTAGTATGCAAAAGTAACATCATTTCGCCAAATCTAACGAAACAATACCAATACCTATACAGGCAAGATTCATCCGCATGGAATTAAAAAAAAATTAAAACATAGCCTTTGTTACTCAGTCATAATGTAGCCTTTTAAACGTTGAAGTATTTTAGGAATCGATGCAGTAGTTTTTGAGTTTATCCGTTGCAAACATACTACTCTTTTAGATTTACTCATAGCGTTGTTAAAAACTCAAATGTACTAAAAATGGCATTTATTTATTAGTACTCGGTAGTAATATAAATTTAACATGACGGGACTCTCATAATGACCACTGAACGACTCTGAGTATCATCATTATTAACCATGTTAAATATAATTCCAATGTGTAATTATTTTGTAACTTATAATTAATGAATTAATGATAATTAAGTTGCGTCTAACTTTAACATTGTGACTCTCATTGTAAATCTTATTTAGAAAAAAAATTACAATTTAAATATGAAAATAAATAAATTGCGGAAGTTTGGTGTCGATTTTTTTAAACAACATTCACCATTGCAATGGCGAGGCCTTAATTAAGGCCAACTTGTTCCGAAAGAAATAAAAACATAGAAAGATTAATAATTTGGTTCTTACTATAAATGCCTCAGATATTTCAAATGTACTCTAAATTAAAAAAAATATGACAAGTCTGCATTCTTCCCGACTATTATTTACACCTTTTTTTCAGATGGGAATAAAGCATTCAATACTCCGCGCCGGGGAGGACGCGGTAGTTATGTGGGATTCTTCCCGTAATGGGGGATAGCCACTACACCCTTCTGTTCCTCTGACGCTTAGTGGCAGAGACACGGGCACGCTTTCGCTTTCATCCGTATGGACTAATATTTATTAGTAACTGGCTGTTCCCGTGCGACTTCATCCGCATGAAATTATAAAAAAAATATTTTATTGTTTACATTTGTCAATTACAAATATCGAAATGACATGACGTAATGACAACCTTGCTTTCTTGATGTTGACAGCAACTTATGGTTTCTTTCCCACATTAGGGTTTTTATCCTAAATATTTACCCCCTAAGTTTAATTTCGTAAAAATATAGAGCCTAAAGCGTGACGTAAGTGTAGGGCTTTTCATTTAAAAAAAGAGTTATTCGAAAATATGCTGTAAAAGCTGACATCTTAGGCAACAAAGAAGTGTGTGTTTACGCTTTATTATAATAGTATAGATAATAGTTTACAAGTAGAAAAATAGAAACCACTACATAGAATCTGATTTTTCAATTAACATAAGCAAACGTATCATAGATGGATCTTGTGTAAAACGGCAATAAAATTATTAAAACACTGCTTACAATCTGTGAATCAGTGACCGCGAAGTTCTTACGTGACTGCACAAAAAAAAGTCCTCCATTACATAACTATTCAAAAGTAGGACAATTGGAAAACACATAACAACATTTATGTACAATTTACTATATCATTTTACGTGCATAATTATTACGTACAGAAAACCGCAAACCATTTAAACTAGGTACTGACTGCTGTTACGGTATCATGATACACCGCGAGCATTCATGCAGTCAGTACACTAAGTACAACGTGTAACATGTTACACTACTCTTTATATTGTCAGTACCCAACTTTAGACATAACCCTTTAACGTGATTTACCACTGACTAAATGGAGATAAAAAAGGGATAAGAAAAAGTCTAACTAATCTAACAATGAGCGTCAAATGAAAGGGCTTGACGAGCAGAGTACGGTGCACAAAATAGAGGATAAAATATGTTGACACGTCGGACAAAATTAAAAAAAGAATTCATTTAACAGTTAAACACAGAAGAATTAAGCGACACCGGGCGTTATGTTCACATAAAAATCCAGGGCTTAACACTAGTGCAGACAAACTACAACATAGAGAGCAAATACTAATTGTCTATATCTAATATCCAAAACTGTTACACGAACTTGAACTGACTTATTAATATGCACATAGTGACACTGTCACCTCGGGCTTTTCGCAACATTTCAAAAAGGAGACGCCTAGTAATGTAACGTCCGATACCAAGCAAAGAGCCTTGTCATTGCAGGCTTTGCGAATGGATTAATTTATTACGTAGAGGAATCGTAAGGTTTCTTAGATCATTGGCAGTATGTCAAAATGTTGTGAAAAATACTATCACCAGTTTCCAGGTCATGGTAAATTGTTCTTTAACCATATATCGATATATTCATCCTCTGAAACCGATGAGTGTTTAAAAAACTGACGTTCTAGCTTCAAAATTATGATACACTAGTTGTTGCCGCGACTTCGTCCACGCAGTATTAAGGTAAAAAAGTAATCTTAAAGATACTTGTCTACGTCAGCTACCCAGCTATTTCGGAGATTGTCCGGAACAAACGCGACTTGCGGACAGACAGACAGACGGATGAAAAGTTTCTAAAATCGTTATCAGCAACGCAAATACAACATCTTCCCGAAATACAGAAAAAAATTAAAAGCTGGATTTTTTTTTTTTGATATTACAAACAGACACTCCAATTCTATTATATGTATAGATGTCTAGACAGAAAAGAATAAATAACATTATTTAAGTTGATCAACAAAAACGTCTAATAATAAAAAGGTGGAGCACTGGATATGTTGTAATCCAGCAATACAGTTTCTGCATATATGAACATCGCCAGCTGATGGCTTAAGCCTGGTCTCTATGACTCATAAACCCTGAAAAATAATCGATAGCTCCTTTGTTAACAATCATATCAAAATTTATACCACCAGAAAAAAATCCTCATCAGAAAAAGACTTTTACTAAGTTTGATTTTCTTGTACTTTGTTAAGGCTGTCAAGTCTTGTTACGAAAGTATCACTTGTGTGAAACATTCAGAAGTTGAAAGCGAATATGTGTTGAGACGCACGTAGACAACATAGTTTGCAATATGTATAACTAGTTTTCGCCCGCGATTCCGTCCGTGTCGAATTAAAAAAAAAACAAAAGTACGTAGTCTATGTGTTCTTCCAGACTAACTTCTACATCTATACCAAATTTAATCGAAATCCGTTCAGCCAACATCCATCCATCCATCTAAACTTTCGCATTTATTATATTAGTATGAACTATGATTATTTATGTCATAATTCAAATATCTTGCTGTGTAGAAGAGATTACAATTCCAACCAACGAGATTCTATATGAATGGTACTTAAAAATGCAAATGAGTTGGATCAAAAGGCTAGCTTCCGTAGCTCTATCTACATTGATCTCTAAAATGCAAACACGGTTATCGATACGAGGTAATCGCCAGCTAAATGTTCCTCTTTTGTTTCTTTTTAATTGATATTCAAAGTATTTATAAAAATAGGGTCAAATATGTCGTATAGTTTTGACATTCAAGTTTGCGTAAGTCGCCTTAAGACTGCGTCTGTAGTACAAATACTGGAAACCCATAGATTACAAAATGAAAAGAAACAGTATGTATTAACAACCTTAAAATGTTTTACAAAAGGTACAAAATCGCTTACTATGTGGTCCGTTCCACATCCGTCGTGTAGCGCTCTGTTTATTTGAAGCCTTTGAAGATAATTTTTACGCGGATTTCCTTTAGAAGTCGTTAGCTGAGTGACTCATTTGAGTCAACAGTGTCTGAGGTTCGATTCTTTTAAACCTTGTAAAAGCTTAGTCACTAGAATAATTATGTTTACAAGTGATTTTTATACATAACTAGTAATTACTTTTCAAAATTTCACAAATGTAGAATAATAAACTTACGTAATAACACCTTAAGTAGGTGTTGGAAACGATTTCATATAATCTGATTACTTACTGTCTTACTTATTATCGATGTGTCACTGAGGGAGATCCTCAATTTATTAGAAATCTCCACTTATACACTGCTTAAGTTAACTATGAACGACTCTGAGTTACAGTTAGTGGTGGAAACACCATTGCACGCACAGAAATTGCAAAATATTAGCTATAGACATGGCATATGTAGTGATGTAGGTCAAAATCCTTTGTTCTATAAGGAAGTACTTTGGGTACATTATCATCATCACCATCTTCCCATCCTTATCATACTTCTATAGGGTCAGTGCACCAGGTTTTCGTCCTTTACATCGATCATCCGTCATCTCAGTCATCACCATTTCATCTCACCTTTTACCCAATCCATCCGTTTCTCTCTAGGACTGATGTACCCATGTACTTGTTTTGGTAACTATAGGGATCGTAAGTCGATTCTAGTAATATGGTAGTCCCGATGTAGCAAGTAGACGCCTGTTAACATTGACCGTTCACTGCGAGCATTGCTTAAGCCGGCAGGGGCCACACAGTATGGTGTTGGAAAGCGTTGGAACCGCGCGTATACGGAGTTTGTTTCTTGTGTTGTGACTCATTGTGGACTTGTTTTTGTGTTATACTTGTAAGTATAAATTTAATAATTGTCATTGTAAAAATTAATTAGTTAATATGCATAAATGTATCTTTCGTTTACGCTGTTAAGATTTTAGAAACGTTATTAAGTTATGTTATCTTTGATGAGATTAAGTTGATAAATATAAGGTTCAAGCTTTTAATCACAAAATAACGAGCTTACAAGTGATGTAGGAATCGAGATTTTCATTTCTAATATATACTAATGTTATAAAGAGGAATTATATTTTTTATGTATCGAAATAATTCAAAAACTACTGGACCGATTTTAAAAATTCTTTCACCATTAAAAAGTTACGTTATCACTGACTGACCTAGATATATTTAACATCAACGGAAAGGGTAGAGACAAGAATCCATACCCTTCCTTTTAAGAAAAATGAAACATATATACATTGTCACACAAGCGAAGCTGAGGTCGATCGTTAGTTATTTTTCCATATCCATTGATAATAGAAAATAATTCAATGATGTGGTTTTTATTGTATTATACTAATATAATACAGAGGAAATGTTTATATTTTTGTATGTATTGGAATTACTCAAAAACTACTCGGCCGATTTCAAAAATTCTTTCACCCTTAGAAAGATAATTTATCTGTGAGTAACATAGGCTATATTTTTTAAATTCACGCGAGCGAAGTCGAACAGCTAGTTCAATTAATAACAAGATCACGGTACACCGGATTTGTGTAACGACTATAAAAGAGAAATATTACATAAGTGAACACATTTGGTAAAAACTAGCGTGTCTTCGCGATAAGATCCAATAATTAGACCAGTACTTCCTTATGATCGTAGCAACAAAGTAGTGTTAATCGGAAATACAAATCAGGTAAAATCAAGTTTAGACATTGTTAATAATTAACTTTGATTAATGAAATGTAACCCTTCTTGACACATACCCGGATTCGCTCGGATACAATGACAATCACATTAAAAACCTCTAAAACTATCGATATTTCTCTACTATGTTATATGTCTATTATATATATAAACCTTCCTCTTGAATCACTCTATTAAAAACAATTGGATAAAAATCCACTGCGTAGTTTTAAAGATTTAAGCCTACATAAGGACAGCGCGACGCAAATTTCTTATATACTACTAGCTGTTCCCGTGCGGCTTCATCCGCATGAAATTATAATCACTTTATTTCATTGTTTGTATTTGTCAAATGTCAAAATTCAAATGCACAAATGACAACCTTGCTTTCTTAATGTTGACAGCTTGTAGTTTATGGACCCTTTCGCACATTGGGATTTTTATCCAAAATATTTACCCCTTAAGTGTGTGTTTACGCTTTATTAATAATAGTATAGATTTACTTCTTAACGACTGAGTGATTTTGGATTAAATTTAATAAAGATTGTAGTTTGGAATATCATGCAAATTATTTAGTATATTTTGACTTGATCCAGACAAAGTGACGGGTAACAAGTAGTATGCTAAAACCAATACATCATACTGCTACAACACACCCAGTACTCTCGTTATAAATGAAAGTGGGTCTGCTCTGCTCAGCACGATCGATATTACATAATCGAATTTACCATCACATTTTGTTTTATTTTACAAAAAATATCTTGTACTCGCAGACAGTATTACAAACTTTTATATATGGCAGTTCGACTTGTTTAAGTAAAGTAAAGTAACGTAAAAGTAAAACACTATTTATAGAACAGAAAATAAATTAAAAGAACACAACTTACAAATCATGTTACTGAAAAAAAAAATAAAGATATAAATTCGTGGCCAAAAGGAGAAGGCTCAGCTAATGCCGCCTCCAGCTTGTCACTGAAAGCCTGTGACAAGCTGGAGGCCTGTAATTGTAAAAATTAAAGTAAGGAGACAAAAAACGTAAAAATCACATGTGTAATATCTGTAACACGAAATAAGTAAAAAAATATTATTATTAAGTTTATTAACTTACTACCTTTCGCTCGTAACTCCGTCCGCGTGGAATTGAAAAAAAAATGCGTAGCCTATGTGTTCTTCCAGACTATCCTCTACACCTGTACTAAATTTCACCGAAATCCGTTCAGCCGTTTAGGCTACAAACTCTAGCAAACATCCGTCTAAACTTTCGCATTTATAATATTAGTAAGAAGTTAGATTAGATATTAGTTAGATTGTAAATGTCAATAAAGCAAGTGTCAAAAAAAATCAAGTGCCAATAATCTAATGGTATTTGGATAGGGACTACCGATCTTGCGGTCGAGGGTTCAAATCCCGCCATTCGAGTATTATAAACCATATCCTAGCACATCCTTAACCAAGCAATAAAAAAGTCTACATTACATAAAAATTAATCTCTTTAGCTATACTATTAAAATATTTCATTCAAATTTCTACTAATTAATTTTGCAATCGATTGAATAAACTTTTAATATTTAATTGAATGATGAATGTATAAATATTTGCTAAGAATTTCAAGACAATTACACGCTTCGTATCTTCGAGTATGGTGGTTTCGTTATTGACCCGCTTGTAGTCTAGAGGCCTATTGGTAATTTGCGTTACGAGATTGTGTGCGTTCTACTACATTACAGTGTCAAATTTATATCTTACTAGCTTTCGCCCGCGACTTCGTCCGTGTGGAATTAAAAAAGACAAAAGTGAGTAGCTTATATGTTCTTCCAGACTATCCTGTACGTCTATGCCAAATTTCGTAGAGTTCCGTTCAGCCGTTTAGGTTACAAACTCTAACAAACATCCATTTATCTAAACTTTCGCATTTATAATATTAAAATGAAGTTAATCCGCATTAAAATATAAAAACTTTATTTTTTTCTTTACAATTGTCAGTTTTTCAATTGAAAATGTCAAAAATTCAAATGAACAAATGACAACGAAGGCCTTTGATTGGATAACAATTACCGTTACCACAGCAACCTTGCTTCCTTAATGTTACCAGCTTACAGTTTATGGTCCCCTTCCCAAATGAGGGGTTTTACCAATTTATTTACCTCCTAACTTTAATAGTGACAATATATAGCCTTAAGGATTTCGTAAGTTTTTATTCAAAAATATATTGTAATTGCTTACATCATACATAACTAAATAGTGTGTTTACGCTTTATTATATTAGAATATATTATAGATTAACAAAAAAAAAAACCATCACACGTTCGCAAATCAATATACAGGATTAGAGTAACAAATGTACTATTGGTGTCAAAATTAGCAAGTACTCTAGATTAAATAAAAAGTCAAATCAGTAAAAAAATCAGGACATAATTAATCAACAAATGTAAGTCATGGTCACCAAGTGGTTTGGACACTTTTAATATAAAAGTAGTCCTTATATCGTATCGCAATAATGTATTATTCGCTATTACATGACACTATGCAAATGAATTCAATTATTTTAATGCTGCAATTTTATTGTCCCATACTACCTTAATCAGGACCTTGTCATAGTAATCTCGTAAACCGTAATTACCTTTACCTAAACCAGAGGTTGCAAACATAATTCGGATACATCACCGATTGTTTTAATTTAACGAAAATTGATAACACTAAGAACGTTTTAGCATTTTTAAATTATCTCTTACTGTTTTACGATCATTATAAAATAAATTACTGATTTGCATTTTATTTAATTTAACCTGGGAATAAAATGTTGGGAACATCTGCATATACTTTAACATTTAAACCTTTACCATCATTATTTTAAGGAAGTCCATTTATTGCGAAATTAATAGACTTAGATAACAAATACAATTGTTGTCTCAACTATTTCAAAGTAAATTTGAGGGATGACAATATGTCTAAAATGTCGACAACAGGCATAAGATATAGGGAATTGACGCCATTGCTAACGTGTTCACTTCAGTAAGTTATTGTTAATTGCATTGTTCTGATTGATGAAGAAACATTATAATTATGAGTTGACATACCGTTGTAACGACCTAATTCACATGTTATTGTTAAAACGCACAGATGCTAAACCATGTGGGAAAATGTTGAGCACACCTGCATAATTGGAGTGAATGTGAAGGATGAAGTAAAGTACAAATATTTGATCGACTTCCCAAAAGGAGGTACTTAATTCGTCTGTATGTTTTTTTTATGTTACGCCATAACTCCGCCGCTAGTGGACCGATTTTGATAATTCATTTTTTTATCCGAAAGGTAGTGCTTGCAGGTCCCATTTTTTTTAACAACTGTTATTTACCAAAGTTTTTGCTGTTTAAAAATAATCGGATTTCACAGTTACTTTAGTTTTGCTAACGATAATAGAATACGGTTTATTGTCTTTCGCTTTTGTAATCTATGCAACAATAAAATGAAGTTACCAGGAAATCATAGACATTAGGAAGGCATATCAATGTGCGTTCATGTTATGTTTTCCTACAAAAGTAGGCTAATGGTTAGTATATTCAGTACAGTGAACAATAACACATAGTACGCACTTAACACACACCTTTGACTAAACTATCGCACAATTGTTTAGTCTCGCTATGATTCCTATGACCTTATATGGACATGCCCACAATACTCGATTTTAAGTTGTGGATCTAAACAGTTGAAACTGGGGAACAATCGACAATCGCACAACAGACTAGCCAAAGAAGTGCACTCGCTCTTAATTTTAAAAACGGAATAAAAACTAGATAATAAACCAATGCTATTTAGAAATTATCTTAAAGTTTGATTAACTCTAAAAATAATTTAAAAAAAAATGAAAAACCGCAAAAGATTTATTGCTTTACCCAAGACGCCCGGAATTAAAAAAAAAAAAACAAAAGTGAGTAGCCTATATATGTTCTCCTAAACTATCCTCCAGATATCAAGTACCGTTCAGCCGTTTAGGCTACAAACTCTAACAAACATCCATCCATCTACAATTTCGCATTTATAATTAGTAAGAAGTAAAATTATGCAAGTTTACAACCTTAGAAAATTATATTTAACACTATCAAGAGATGTTTCAATCATTAACATATGTGATATCGTGAAAGCGACTCTCAAGGTCAGACAGTGGTTCATGACATAGTCTCAACTATGTTACAACATTGCATAAAAGAAGCCTTCTTATGCAACAAGTATAGACAGAGAGTCCGTTTTATTTGCACCATAGAAGTCTGTGTTTTTTAATATTTCGTGCGTTTATCATTTTTTCTTTCAACTGACAGTTTTGATATTAAAAAGCTTTAAATTGACCCTAAACATTCTTTACGTTTATTTTGTTAAAAGAGAGAATATTTCCATAACTTTTACGCATAAATTTACTTCAAGCAAAAATTTTAACCTTGTCTATACGTGAAAGGTCAACGGACTTTTTAAATAATCGCATCTCATTTTAAAACCGAGATTAGATATGTTTTTCTACAACAATCTTCAATGTCATTACCTGCATAATAAGACAAATGCATTTACAAGTTTGTTGAAAGCAATCTATGATTTTGCAATTTCATTTTTATACTATCTTAGTCGTTATTCCTTAACAAAAACAGTCAGTTTTTAGTTCGGTTCCAACTGTTCTATTTTCCGCAACGTTCTCTATGTGTTCATCATCATTTCCTCCCGTAGGGTAGGGGCACCTGGATTTCGTCCTCCGAACAACTCTATCATACGTCATCTCAGTCATCAATCCCTTGATCATGTTACCTTTGGTGCAATCCATCCATAACTTTCTACACCACATTCATAACTAACTTTCTTCTTGTTACATGTGTACTTTCATACTATTCTACATCTGTGCCAAATATCACCGAGATCAGGTAATCGAAATACGCAGTAACAATCACCCATTCACTTCAACTTTTGTTAAGTCGACATATTAATATGAAGTATGATATAAGGCCTTCACGAACCTTCCTAGATGGGCCAAAGGTCGCGACACCTCGCGATATGTGCAAGACATTGCGGCGACTTACACAATTATTGCTAAGCAACACAGTAACACTTGTCACATACTAACCGAGCCTTATATTGCAATCGGTAAACACATCTTTTTAAAATTACAATATCTAAAATCAATGAAATTGCTGTCTATAGAAAAGGTTTATAACTCTTCAAATGGATAAGTGTCTCTGCTCTCATTATTAAAATTATGAATAGTGAAATAATATAAAAATAATTGATGAAATAATAACCAGGTATTTCAAAAAGTACAGATTTTACATACGATTCGTTCCAAACTTGCAAAAAATAAAATTGACAAATTTCATATTTAACCTGTTAAATACACACTTTTCGCAATTAAACTCCGACGGCGTTATAACATATAATTACTGAGTATATAATATAAAATATTGCTTAAATGAAAGTAAAATATTAAGTTGATTCCATTGAAAAAATTACTTGTAATATCCTTGAGATTTGAGACAAGTTTTTTTTTCATTCAAATTATACTTTACTATAAATATAGTTAAGATAAAAAAGTTAAAAGCCTTAAATTATTGAACGCATTATATTTTTCGCATTCAAACATTCATTTGTTTTATCCAGAGCAGGTTAACCTCGTAAAGTGCAGTAGATCAACTAATCAGTTGAACTACTGCAACGAGTCACGGATTAGTTGGCAACCTTGCACTCTAAAGGTGTATAAACATAAACATTTCGACTGACAGGTTAACCTTAAAGTCTTAACCTTACAATTACTGTAAAATATTTAATTCATCGTCAGCGATCGAGCGTGAAAAGCAAACTGTACATAATCGCCTTACAACTAAAGCAAGGTAACCGTGAATCTTCATGGTTACCTTGCTTTAGTTGTTCGTGCGACTTCATCCGCGTAATATTATGAAAATTTTATTACATTGTTTACATGTGTAAAATTATCAATTGCAAATGTCAAAATGACATGACATGATGACAAACCATGGCAAGCTTGATGTTGGCAGCAGCTTATGGTCCCTATCCATTAGGGTTTTTATCCAAATTATTTTCCCCCTAGGTTTAATGGCGTGAAAATATATAGCCTAAAGTGTGACGTAAGTGTCGGGCCTTTTATAAAAAAGGAATTATTCAAAAACATGCTTTAATTGCTGACATCTTAGGCAACAAAGAAGTGTGTGTTTACGCTTAATTATAATAGTATAGATTGTCATCCCCTATATTGTCTTTGAAACGAGGCAAAGATAGTCTTTGTATACAGCTTATATAGCGGTGCACACACTACTCGATTTTTAGTTGTGCAACTAAACAGTTGAATTGGCTGGGAAACAATCGACGATCGCACAATCGTTGTGTGATAGTTTAGTCAAAGGTGTGCACCTACTCTTAGAGATACCATGATGTAGTCAGCATAAAACGGTAAAATTGTTACTCTGTTCTAATAAAAGTATCATATAATTCCAGGTGAAGAAATGTTTCATTAACCATGGGTGTACTAACGGCGGCCGCAGCTGCGGCTAAGTCCGCCCTCACCATCGCCGGGATCAGCAAACTGACATTCATCCCAGCAATGCTCGCTGCAATGGCCTACTTCAACTATGACCTACTAGATCCTGAGAACAGACCTTTCAACCAGCAATACTTGAGAGAAGAATACGACTTTGTTATAGTCGGTGGAGGATCTGCTGGTGCGGTTCTGGCGAATAGACTGTCGGAGGTGGAAAGTTGGAATGTACTGCTATTGGAAGCTGGTGGACATGAGACGGATATCAGTGATGTTCCTCTACTCTCGTTGTATCTTCATAAAAGTAAACTCGATTGGAAATACCGGTAAGTTTTTTAACCAGTATTCTCCCACCTTATAGCTGTAAATATATCAGTATAAGAGACAAATATGACATTTTTACTGGTGAAGTTTAAAAAGACCAAGAATTATCTTAGCAATAACGACATAACATACATGTCTTTTTTCGAAATAGATTGAGATCTATCATATCTCAACGTTTAAAAAAAGACGTAAACATTACAAGGCTTTAAAGAACAACAAATTTTACCTCTTAACACAATTCAAAACATGCAATGCTCTGTATTCCAGAACTCAACCACAAGACTCCGCGTGCCAGGCGATGAAAGACAAACGTTGCAGCTGGACCAAGGGCAAAGTTCTCGGCGGCTCCTCAGTCCTCAACACAATGCTCTACATCCGCGGTAACAAGAGAGACTTCGACCAGTGGGAGGCTTTCGGGAACCCTGGCTGGGGATACGAAGACGTGCTACCTTACTTCAAGAAATCAGAAGACCAAAGGAATCCGTACTTAGCGAAGGATAAGAGACATCATAGTGAAGGTAAGGTTAATAAATTAATAGAGTACATTAGAAACACATGTAAATGTAGCTTCTTGTTCAAAGTAAGCCAACATCATTTAAACACGGAAACGACTCTACCACATCATTTCTAAATTCCATAATGTGACTGTAACTCGTGCGCTGCATCACAGACTAAGTTATATAATTTCATATCCACTTATAATACGACTATTTGCAAACTAGCATTCTATTGCTACCGTTTTTATTTAAACAAAATCCAATTGCTAGATATATCACTCTATTAGAAACACAAAGGTAAAATAGCAACTCAAGTGGATTTTTCATGACAAAAATTATTTATGTTTTACAGGTGGTTACTTAACAGTACAAGATGCACCCTACAACACACCCATTGGAGCAGCCTTCCTACAAGCAGGTGAAGAAATGGGCTACGACATTGTCGACGTGAACGGCGCTCAGCAGACAGGCTACGCATGGTATCAGTTCACCATGAGACGAGGCACCAGATGCTCCACTGCCAAGGCGTTCCTCCGACCAGTTCGTCTACGACAAAATCTTCACGTATCGTTATTCTCTCATGTTACAAAAGTCTTAATAGACAAAGACCAAAAACGAGCATACGGAGTTCAATTTATTAAAGACCAACAGAAGCAAATAGTATACGCTAAACGGGAAGTTATTCTAGCAGCTGGAGCGATAGCTTCCCCACAGTTACTCATGCTCTCGGGTATCGGACCTGCTCAACATTTACAAGAAGTAGGTATAGACGTGATACAAGATTCTCCCGGTGTTGGGAGAAACTTGCAAGATCACATCGCTGTCGGTGGATTGGTCTTTGAAATCGATTATCCAATCAGCTTAATTATGAGTCGACTTGTGAACATCAATTCTGCTTTACGTTACGCTATATCAGAAGATGGTCCTCTAACTTCGAATATTGGTTTAGAAGTAGTTGCATTTATAAATACAAAGTACGCAAACTCTTCTGATGATTGGCCTGATATGGAATTCATGATGACTTCTGCATCTATACCATCAGATGGCGGTACACAAGTGAAACGAGCCCACAGTATTACAGACGAATTTTACGATGAAGTATTCGGTCATTTGACAAACAAAGATGTATTTGGAATCTTCCCGATGATGTTAAGACCGAAGAGTACAGGATTTATAAAGTTACGATCGAAAAATCCTTTAGAATATCCCCTTATGTATCACAATTATTTAACTCATCCTGATGATGTGGGAGTTTTAAGGGAAGGTGTGAAGGCAGCGGTCGCTGTTGGCGAAACTAAGGCTATGAAACGACTTGGGGCTAGGTTCAACGACAAGCCTGTTCCAAATTGCAAACATTTACCATTGTATACCGATGAGTATTGGGATTGCATGATAAGACAATACACTATGACTATTTATCACTTATCGTGTACAGCTAAAATGGGTCCATCGACTGATCCTATGGCAGTTGTTGATCCGACATTACAAGTGTATGGTGTGAAAGGTTTAAGGGTGATCGATGCTAGTATTATGCCGGCTATTACGAATGGAAATATAAACGCCCCTGTTATTATGATTGCAGAAAAGGGCAGCGATTTGATTAAGGAAACTTGGTTACCGAAAAGACGGAAAAGAAATGCGAAATCTTCTAAGTTTTCAAACGTAAAGAAAATAAAAAATAACACTTTGTGTAGTACAAAAAGATGATAGTGTAATTAAACAGTAAACGTGTATATTAGATAAAACGCCATAGTTTTGTGCAAAATGCTAAAAACCAAAAGTAAGTTTTTACTGACAAATCAGTTAGATTATATTTTTTAATAGTTTCAATGGTTTTTCCGTATTCTAGTCTCTTCGACAATATTTGTGTATATATTTTGAGTTAAGTTTTTTTCCTATTAAGAACTGCAAAGGAACCAAGTTAGAAAACTTTAGATGCTATGAAATTCAATGCACCTTAGATAATTGTGAAAAAATAAACATTTTTGTAGGACAAAATTTATTCACGTGTAAATTATTAAAATAATAACTTAACATGTGTAAATATTTTTATGTGGTATAAATATATCAATATGTTTTGTTAATTCGTTTTATTATTTTTAGCAAAAATTCCTCTTGTTTGAACTTAACTTGTTATTTAAAAAAGCGCCATCTATCGTATAGATCTAACAACATTATAAAATATATTGCGTTAAGTCATAAACTTCGCTACTAGCCTCAATATAGGAATTTTAACAATTGAAATACATACATACTTAAACACATTACCTTTCTATCTGCCGAGAAGAAGAAGATACCAGACATAACACTTTACCCTCATCTATATACCAAGAACAGGAAATGTTTGTTTATAATGAATGATTTAAAAAAACTACTAAACCTATTTATAAAATACCAATAGCTAGACTAGATAGACTAGATAGACTAGCTTTCGCCCGCGACCCCGTTTGCAAGAGATTAAAAAAAGTAGCCTATGTCACCGAGATTCGTTCAGGCGTTTTGGATACAAAATCTAACAAAGATCCATCCATCCATTTCGCATTTATAATATTTGTTAAATTATTTTGTTCCGCGCGTATAAATTGCAGGTAAAAGTTAAAGTATCATAAAATTCGGACATGAACATCCTATAAACATGTCTGGCACGGAATCAGTGCATTTATGTCATCAAAGGCAAACATAACTTAAGCGAAACACGTATGTGGAAAGTGAGAGGAAATGCTCGGGGAAGCGGTTTTCATTTCACTGTTAGGATAATCAGTAACGATGTTAGGTAATACACCTATTGTACTTAAATAAATGTTAGATTAATCTTATCTTACTTCTCAATATAAATGCAAAAGTTTGGAAGAATATTTCTTTAGAGTTCGTAGCTTAAACTGCCGAACGGATATCAATGAAATTTGGCATAGATGTAGAGGATAGTCTGGATTTCCACACGTGATTTGCTATTTTTTTAATTCCACACGGACGAAGGAGAGGGATTAAATAAACATGCAATGACATTCGAATTATCCTATACTAGCTTTTGCTCGCGACTCCAGCCGCGTGGAATTAAAAAACAAAAGTGTGTAAAGTGTTATTCCAGACTACAGATTTACAGTTTTACACCTGTGCCAAATTTCCAGACACGTTTAATCGTCTAGGCTACAAACAAACATCCACGCTTCTAAACTTTCGCATTTATAATATCACTAAGTAACACTGCAATAAGTGTATTCCAGTTACACCTTTTAAATTGAACCTAATATTTTTTTAATTCTATAAAACAAACATTAGAATAATATATTCTTCCATGTTGCATGCAAACCCGTAAATATCTAGTAATCGATTAACCCATAACCATGACTTATACAAACAAATAAACCATTAACCAAGTTATTAAATACAACCATAAAGTTATAAAATCTTTCAACACACTTTACGTAACCGGAAAATGCATCCTCACTCGAGAACAATATCTGGCACATTTGCGCAGTCATCGTTGTGTTATAAACTGACCTCATGACTTACGTAACGCAGTATTTAGGCCTCGTGTCGTATAATACAACCACTTAAACTACTTCAAGAAGCGAGCCTATCATTTCCTCAAAACCGGCAACGCATTTGTAGTTCCTCTGGTGTTGCGGATGTCCATGGGCGTCGTGTTCCTCGGTGTTCTCGCCGCTCGTTTGCCCACTTTTGTTAAAAAAGTACTACAGTAAAAAAATGTATGTAATTTTTTCTAATGCTTCCATTTCCTCCAAGTTTAGTTTTTTGTATAAAAAGTCAAATGTCCAGCAGAACAATTCTTATTTTGCTCGACGTTCAAAAGCGTTAAATTTTACCACAGGTATATATTATGTATTTCTTCCAATTCTAATGTGATTGTAGTCGAAACTATAATAATTATGAAGAATATTATTCTTCATCTCAAAACACTGAGAATTAATCAGTCATATTTGGGCTTATTGTTTTTTTTTTTTATTTACAAATATCTTAAGTCCAAACTCACAGTGGTCGAATCTAAATGTGAAGTACTCTATGTGAATAGAATAAAGGAATTGTTAAGCCTAACAAACGACCTGACCAGTGTGTTATTTCCTGGGCAGTTGCATCGCGGAAGTAAATCTTTTATAGCTGATTGCTAACAGTTTATATGGCTTAAATGTTAAGACGACAAGCGGGTCTAATTAACTTACAAATAATATAGAACTTATTTACTGACAGACTCGGTAGAGTTACTTCTTTACTTAGAGTCATTAAGAGAGTACCATCGTCTAGATTTACTGTCACTAAAATCAGTTAAATAACACCCTAAAGAAACCTTAGATCGTCGGTAGCTCAGTGGTTTAAGCACTTGACTTGTAATCTACAGGTCTTGGGTTCGAATCCCGCCGTGTACCAATGTGATTTTTGATTTTCCGAATTTTCATATGTACATAATTTACCCGACGTTCTTACACTTAAGGAAAACATCGTGATGCAACCTGCACATATCGGCGAAGAAATTCAAAGATATGTGTGAAGTCAACCAACCAGCAATAGGCCAGCGTGGTTGACTATGGCCTAATCACCCTTACTTAGGGTAGACTACGAGCCCCTCGTTGGGGACGTATAGTCAGCTGGTGATGAATGAAATGAATGAAATGATATCCTTAGTATCTATTTAGGTTCAGAAATCAACAACAAAGGTTAGACACCAATTAATAACTGCCAGTGAATATATTAATTCTTTACTAAGGTATATTTAAGTAAGCTTTAAACATTTAGCAAACGGCCTCTTAACTTTGTAATAATTAATACCGTATTTTGAGTTCCTTGACAATGTCTACTTCATCTCTTAGTTGCATGGAAATGCCTACTCAGAGCACTATCTACGTCGTTATCAAACAGTTTCTAAACATAACCGGTGGCAGTACACTTGGAGATACTGTCACGTAATAGTAGTAAATCTCACTTGTCAACGCAACTGTACAACACAGACGAGGTGTTTGATTTCCTACACATTTTAGTTGTTGAAAATGTGCCACAGCTACATACAAACGTATATAATTATAGGTCTCATTACGACTAACGGATTGCTGTACCGTGTTCAAATGGGTACCAAATTTAATTCTTTAGCTATACAAGGTACAGTCGAATACATAAATACGATTGTAAAACGAGTACACATGCGTGATAGTTGCGTGCTTGTCACTTTATAATTTACAGATAATTATGCACTTCTGTGCACTGATACTTAAATATAAATTGCATTTTATAAAAACATACAATTTATTACAGCATATTTTGTTATAAACAGTAAGTTTTATTAAACATAAAGAGTAGAATATATTGTTTTATTAAATAAAAATGCACTTTCTAGGCAATAAAAAAAAGACTGAGTATGGTTGATACAACAGAGTTTTATTTCTTGTGAAACATTCACGTGAATTAAAAACTACAAAAACCTTAATTGTAAGCTACACATTATTTTTAATCTGTTCGTATCCTAGATTATAGTATAATGTACGAGTATTACATCAATACCTCGATAAAATCATACTAATCATACTAATATTAGAAATGCGAAAGCTTAGACGGATGGATGGATGGATGTTTGTTAGAGTTTGTAGCCTAAACGGCTGAACGGATTTCGATGAAATTTGGTATAGATGTAGAGGATAGTCTGGAAGAACACATAAGCTACTCATTTTTTTAAAACACGCGGACGGAGTAGCGGGCGAAAGCTAGTATCTAATAAGAGTAAGAGCGGGCGCACACTTTTGATTAAACTATTCCACAACTTTTGTGCGATTGTCGATTGTTTCGTAGCCAATTCAACTGTTTATTTGCTCAAATAAAAATCGAGTAATTTGCGCACCATAAGCTCATAGGAATCAAAACGCGAAAACAGTTGTGCGATAGTTTAGTCAAAGGTGTGCGCGTGGTTACATGCAAATACGGAGGTAATCCTACATCATAAATGTGTGTAATAAATGTTATGATGTAAAATTAATTACCAATCTGATGTCATCATCGAAAACTTTGACTATGAACAAACGGACTAGGCAAAAAGCTGTTGTACTGAATAGATTATGCCACTTTTCTTAAAGACGACAGTCGTGTAAGCATGTCATGCCTAATTTTAATTTGAAAAGGCAAAAGTTGCACAAACCAAACACATATAGAAGCATGTTTTTTTACGTTAGAAATATTGTTATTTTTTCTGTGACAGAGGGAAATTCTTTACATGTCCTGTCTCTTAAAAGTCAAAGTAAGGAAGCAATCAACGCAGTGTCAATAAAATTTCTACCAGAAGTATCTTCTGTTAGTACTTCAATTGCATGTTAAATAAGAGGTTGCTGTGGTTTACTGTTTATATTTGTTTGTACTTTCACTGGCAAGTGTAATATAATAGTACATTGTTATACTGAGTACCAAACTGTTTAAGTCGACATAAGATAACTCCAGTATTGTACGTTGAACCTACTCCTATCTATACTTCTACACTAATATAATGAAGCGTTAACACACTACTCCGTGGCGTAGGATGTCAGCAATCACAGCATATTTTTCAATAATAATTTCTTTAACAAAAAGCCCTACACTTATGACACTTTAGGCTATATATTTTCACACTATTAAACATAGGGGTAAATAAAATCTTTACGTGGGAAAAGGACAATACTACAAGCTGCCAACAGTAAGGATGCAAGGTTATTATGGTAACGCTAATTTTGACATTGACAATTGAGAATTTGTAAACGTAAACAATAAAGTTTTTATAATTTCAAGGGGATGAAGCCGGACGGGAACAGCTAGTAGCTACTAAAGAGTTAAGCTATTATAAAGATGTTTAAAGTAAGCTAAGTAATTAAGCTAGTTAATAATAATTTATTCTTGTGTGTCCATTCTATACTTATCATTGTCGTATCTCAGCGTCTTTTACCTGTAACAAAACAATGTTAAATATTAAAAAAAATTAATGCTTATTTTTTCTACCTATTCTCTTGTTAGGTTTCTGTAAGATTGCTAAATATCTAGAGCTCCAGAC